TTTTTTTTGTGCTTAGTTGTGATTTGGTCATGCACATGTGCATGTGACCTGCTGTGACCATTCACAGCTAGGCACTAGTATACAATGGATGGCATGAATGAAGCCATCCATTGTATACAACTGTCATGTGACCTGCTGTGATTGGTCACAGCAGGTCACATGGTACCAGCAACGGGAGTCGGTACTCGGATCTGTCATCGGCCGTGTCCGAGGTACACGGCCGGTGACAGATCGCGCTGCTGCGCCGCTCTGCATTAGCGCAAACTGCGCATGTGCGGGAGCACGCCAAATGGCGTCCACCAGGAATGCAGGAACACATTTGAAGCTGCCAAACGGCCATTGGCCGGGCGGCAAATGGTTAAACTGGTGGCCCTCCAGCTGTTGCAAAACTACAAGTCCCATCATGCCTCTGCCTTTGGGAGTCATTCTTGTAACTGTCAATCTTGCAATGCCTCATGGGACTTGTAGTTTGGCAACAGCTGGAGGGCCGACAGTTTGACACCTGTGATAACTCATTCATGTCCTAAGTTTTGACAGCTCAAGATAGTGACCTGTGATTGGCTGGAACTGGTCACATGGTACAGGGTACTGTAATTGGCCCCATGTATCTTGTGACAGCTGTGGGCCAATCACAGCTCACTAGGAAGAGGAGCTGATGAGAGTGAGATTGATTCATAACAGCTTTGTTTACATTGTGATCACATATCCCATTCACCAGGGTCTTCATTCTGTCGTGAGAGGGGAGTGCTGCTCCTCCCTGTGTTAGTACAAACAGAGCGACGTACAGGTGTGTCGCTTTGCCTGTAGCTGCTGTCCTGCCGCTGTACATTGCGGGCGGGAAGCGTTTAAACTCACCTGAGAGAATGGAAAGGATTTTATGCACTGCCAAAAAGGTAAATAAATACACCTAACCCTAGGTTCACACCTAAGCATTTTCCGCTTTGCAGAAGCTACAGTCCATTTAACATGATTTCCTATGGGACAGGTTCACAGCTCTTCGTTTTCACCCGGTGCATTTTTTGGAAAGGGTCAGGGACTTTTTTAAATGCAAGAAGTTGCGTTTCTATTCCAAGATCTTTAGACTTCAATGGAAACGCTGCAGAAAAGCATGTAGTGCATTTTTGCTGCTTTTTTTTGCCTTTTGTATCTGCCTAGTAACAAGAATAAAAACCCGACATTAACGCACTGCAGAAACAGTTCAAACACAAACTGCGTAGGTGTGAACCTATCCTTAGAGCAGAAAGCACCAAACAGTGTTCCACCACTTCAAATAAATAGATAATATATAGTGAATAACTAGTGCTGCACTATAAACTATCCCCTAAATTACTGTGCAAAAAGGCATCTATAAATTAAAATAAAATAAGTTCATAAAGGTGCAAAACAGGATTCAGTATAGTAAATCAATAAACACCCAAGAGAGCTTTAGTCCAACACTAAGGTAAATACCCAACAGGACATCAATGAATCATGCAAACTACCAGTATATACTCAATCATAATAAAAGGATGAAACACTAGACATAGGTGAAAAATGCCACAAAAGACAAATACAGAAATAGGTAAACACCCGGCTGATCACCTCACATGGGCCATGTGAAAAACTGCATTAAATAAATTAATAAACAAATACTAAACACTAGGGATGCATCAAAATGTTGGCCATCGAAACACATCGGCTGAATATAGCTCTATCAGCATATTGGCGACAGGAATAATATAGCCAATACAGGGTAGTGTGTGTGTGTGTGTGTGTGTGGGGGGGGGGGGGGGTGGAGAAAGGCAGGAGAAGAGCAGTGTATACAGTCAATCGCTGGGTTTTTATTTTCTTCACGATAGCTCAGAGAATCAGCTGTCATTTCCCCGAGCTAAGAGAAACAATGTTTATTTTACCAAGCAGTTGGGTTATGTGTTTCGTTTTATTGCAATAAAATGCAAAAAAAGTGTATTTTTTTTTCCCCAAAAATTGTGTTTGAAAGTCATAAAACAGGGCATCTGCTTTTTTTAAAAAAAAATAGGGGTTTGAAGAAAAATTTTTTAGCAAAAAATACTATTACTGTTCACCTCCACCATCACAGGAGGGAGCTCTCAAACACTGAGCTACTGCATCAAAGGAGAGAGAGGGCATGTGAGGACTGAATCGGAGAAAGAGCACACTCTTGTGGTGGTGGAGGTGAGAAGTAATGACTAGGCCTTGCTTAGCAACGTCCTGGGAGTTTTCCAGTCAGGCTTCAGGAGGTATGTAAATGGCCTATACCTATAGCAAGGACATTATTCAACTTTAGTCATAGCCACCCAGCTTGGTTTTATCTACAGAAGCCCCTTATCTGCATAGGCAGCTTTTTGCTAAAGGTGAACTTTAATTTTCCAGTGTGAACTGTATGTTCCTAGGAGGTGCAACCGAGCACATGCCCATTGCACGTACCCATACAGGGAGAGAAATTGCACAAAAAAATTGACCACACCATTTTTAAAATTGTGCTGCACCAAACTGTATAGTACTGTGGTATGGTACGTTTCAACGTGTGCAAACGCATGCGTGTTTACAAGATGCATAGGGGTGCCATGAACATTTCATGCCACTGCCACATGTCAGCAAAGGGGGTTTTGTGCATTTCGAGAAAGTACGTGTTGGGGCAGGTGTATATTTTTCAAAAAAAGCTTGTTTGAGCTGCAGTTTTACAAACCCTTAGCTGCCCTACTGCTAACCTAACAGCAGCTGCAGGGGGATGTACACAAAAATGATACCCACTGTCACAATCAGTGGGTAGCATTGCCGCCTAATACGGCCCTTTGAAGTGAATGGGGCTATGCTTCAACTGCAATGCACACGATCGTGCCACAGTGGTTTGGGCTTTTCAGGGCTAAAACAGGCAATGAGGAGGTGACATAACACATCCCAGCTGCCTGTCAACAGACCTCTGAAAAGTGAACTACTGCCAGTGTAAATGAACTTGCACACGTTTAGGAACATTATATCTATCCCGTCATCTTAGTGCACCGTCCAACCCTTCTGCAGGAAGCCTATTAAAGACTAGACTATGGCAGGCTGCAGCTGAACGCTGTGCTGAGTGGTAGCCATGTTTAGGTGCATTGAGGGACAAAAGCTCTTCAATGCACAGGGCCCTAAGTCCAGGTACAGATAACACCTATCAGCTCCATCCAGTCACAGCCTGTCATAGACTTTAACAGGCTGAGCCGTGTAGTACCCATGTTTAGGGCCCATTTAGACGGAAGCCAATTTAGAGTGTGCGAGGAAACCAGAGTACCCGAAGGAAACCCAGGCACAGGGAGAACTAGGTGGAAGTGCTAACCACTTAGCCATTGTGCTGCCTATAAAGACTAGGTCCCACTGAGATTTAAACTCAGATCATTGGATTCAGAGTCCAGAGTTATTTATGTTTTTTTATTGATAGCCAAATGGTCTTTTTCAATGGGACTACTGTGCCGCTAGCCTGGTGTTTGGCTCAGAGTTGTGGCGTGGTTCTCTTGACTTGAATAGGTTGTGTTCGGCAGCAGTACTGTCTGCCAAATGCAAGAGTGGGGAAATTTGTGTTTTTACCCCCCACACAGCTGCATTTACAGCTTAAAGTGGTTGTAAAGGTAAAAGTTTTTTTTTTACCTTAATGCATTCTCTGCATTAAGATAATAAACCATTCCTATCAGCCCCCCCAACCCTTCCTGAAATACTTACTTGAGTCCGATCTCGATCCTCCACCCCCCCCCCCCCATTAAGGTAAAAAAAAAAACTTTTACCTTTACAACCACTTTCATGGAGGCTCAGCACTAGCAGGAGCAAATTAAATCCTATGAGCGGGGGGCTGGTGCGGAGCTGAGCCGTACTGTGTTTGTCAGTGGATACATACTGTACATCCCAGTTTGAGCCTTCAAAGTGCCTCCATAGCAAACAGCTTGCACTAATAAAAGAAGAGGTGGAGCCAAGACCAACGGTGGGGGACCCCAGAGTAGGAGGGTCAGGGCGGCTCGCTCTGTGCAAATTCAATACTCAGAGTAGGTAAGTATAATATGTCTGTTATTTTAGAAAAAAACAACAACATTGAAACCTTTACAATCACTTTAAAGCTGAAGCTTAAACTGCTTATCAACATGCCAATGAAAAACCTTTCTGTTTTCATTGCCTACATTATTATATTCAGTGATGTCTTCACTGGGTCTCAGTGCTTCTCTATGTAATGCAGGCAGATTGTAGCAGGTAGGAGGGACCTCTGATAACTTCATGAAAACAGTAGATGGCTCTAGAAAAAGCCTTCATGTTATGCTGAGCTTTCATGCTACAACTTCTAATGCAAAGTGTGAGAAGCTCACAGTGTGCAGTGATCTCAGATTAGGCAATTTCAGTACAGGAGAGAAAAATTCAAGGGTTGATGTTCTATACCAAGCAGCCCTGATCTCATCCAGCACATGCACAAGATCAGGCAAGGTTTCTCTGGAGGAATTTGTGATGAGGCCTTCCTAAGGTGTACCCTGTGTACCAAGAAATAAGAAGAAAAAAATTGTTTTACAAAAAAAGTTTTCATCTTGAAATGACTTGTGTGACGGTAATGGATGGACATGCAGTGATACATGCGCCAATAGTTTTTCTCTTTGGGGGGGGTTAAAGGTCCACTTTAAGGGGGGGCCATACACTGTACAATCTGATTTGGACAATCTCTGTACAATCTCCTTTAGATTTATAGAAAAAAAAAACTTTAATAGGAGAACACACCTAAATAACCCATTGAATTTGTATAGAGTCGGGCTGGCCCTTTCACTGCATAGTGTATGATAGATCTAAAGAAGATTGTACAGTGTATGGTGAACATTAGAGAGCTGTGACGTGAGCATTTCCAACAGCCTCTGTGCACAAATGGAATAACATCATGCCTAGCAGGGTCATGTATGAGACTAAATAAGAGGGAAAGATTTTGATGGCATTGTTTAAATCAGAGAAGTGAAGTTTGATTTCATTTTTTTAAATGTTTTTCTCATTGTTTTACATCACAGGAGATTCAGAATGTGCCCATTGACATCCAGACCAGCAAACTGCTGGGTAAGTGAAGTTAACATGTTTACATAAAACACCCACATACAGTATATCAGGGCAGTAAAATCAGAGAATCCTGGCAGCCAGTACAGTTTTTAAAGACACTACTGCTGATCCTGTTTCTTATAGTTGTCTGCAAAAGATGCTGCTTATTGAATAAAAAATTGAACTGCAAAATTGGATACATAGCATTAACCCATTGGCACCGGCGCCACCTGTCTCTTTAAAGGGTTTGTGACTCCAGTTTAGGGTCATGTGACTGCGGTGATTGGCTGTCACAGCGGTCACATAATTGCAAGTAGCGATCTGGACCTTTCCATGAGGCACATGCAAGGCGCACACTCTCGGCACGTTTGTTTACATTGGGTACGCAAAAATGCGGCCTCTCGGCGTCAAGGCCCACCCGCTAAGAGGCAGCATATTTGCGTACTGTCAGCACCAAGGAGACAATTAGTTACACCTGTGGTTGGGTTGGTAAAAAAAAAAACCTGTATTGCTCCCCTTTAAGCTGCACAGGCAGCGGACAGGTGTATGATGCTTTTTAGGGGTGAAAACAGGCAGTAAGAAGGCCATTCAAAAGCGTTTTCAAGCACTTTAGAGAGCGATGCAAGTTTAATCAAGCCCTTTAGGAACACATTGGATAACTGGGGGGGCAACTATCACACTCGACAGTGTGATAGTTCAAGACAAGGCCCCCCCCAAAAAAAGCAACATTTTCAGTGATTCTGACAATTACGAAACACTTCCTAGATGACCTTTCAGCTGTCATCTACTAATTTGGAAATATTGGGGTTGATTTACTAAAACTGGAGAGTGCAAAATCTGGTGCAGCTCTGTATAGAAACCAATCAGCTTCAGGTTTTATTGTCAAAGCTTTAAGGATAAGTTCACCTTTTAACAAAAAATAATAAATGCACACTTTTTTTTTTACCTGCAAAAAAAAAACAGGTAAAAGTTTGGAGCCTCTAAAGCATTGCACCAGCGATCAGCAGATTGCTGGTGCCATGCAGGTCTCCCCCTGACCTGTCAGTATAGCTACTTGCTCATACGTCCGGTACAAGCAGGAAGGCTCAAGGAACTAAGACGGTGCTGTGGAGTGCTGTTGTACAAGCCGACAGCCGCAAAGGCTACCGGGACTTGTAGTTTTCTCATTCACAGAATTCTGTGAATGAGTGATGAGGCCAGGCAGGCGGAGCCCTGCACAGCCGTCGGCGTCAAGGGGTTAAAGTGGTTATAACTCTCCCCTTACTCTATCCAAAATGAAGAAAATTGTTTTGCCTTTAGTTCTACTTTAATTGATCCAAACCAAATAATCAGCTTTTTGTAGTTAGGATAAATTAAAGTGGTATTAAACCCAAAAACAAAAATATATTCTATTGTAGCTTACCATTTCTTAGATGTGGTGGCTGCATTAGTTTTTTTTTTTTTTTTTTTGTGGTGTTGCTTCCTTTATATTCACCTGGTGATCCGGCTAGCAATTCTGTTTTTTCTTTTCAATTTCCTTAACCAGACCAAGCTGTCCAGCAAAAGTGTCAGAGGGTATAGACAAACCATTTAACACTAACAGGGGTGCTTACAATGGTCAGAATGTATCCATTTATATAAAATCTTCACTCTCCGCCACTTTTATTGGGTACACCTGTTCAATTGCTTGGTAACACAAATTGCTATTCAGCCAATCACATGGCAGCAACTAAATGCATTTAGGAAGGACTGTCAAACTGGCGGCCCTTCAGCTGTTGCGAAACTACAAGTCCCATCATGCCTCTGACTTTGGGAGTCATGCTTGTAACTGTCAATCTTGTAATGCCTCATGGGACTTGCAGTTTGGCAACAGCTGGAGGGCTAGGAATGAACTCTCCTGCGCTCTGAGACCCAGATAGGTGGTGGATGGATGGAACAAGAGCTTGAAAAATTTGACCACCAATGCATATAGGGTTGTGCAGCTCCAAACAAGGCTGGGGAAGCCCGACCAGTACTGCAAAGTGAAACAAAACAAAAAGCGCACCAACCTTGCGAATTACCTCAATAAACCAAAATTTTATTGAATACAGAATGATACTCACAAACAGCGAAGTAAATCAAGCATGTAAGTCCTCAAAGGAACTTGAGAATTATGAAGCCTTCGCGATTCCCATCATAGGGGTAGACACTCCGAGTACAGCTGACGTGTTTCGAACGGCGTCCCTTCTTCATCAGAGCTAGCCAAGAGCTAACAGCTGGAGGGCTGCCAGTTTGACACCTGTATTATCTAGATGTGGTGAAGATGACCTGCTGAAGTTCAAACTGAGCATCAGAATGGGGAAGAAAAGGGAATTTAAGGGACTTTGAACGTGGCATGGTTGTTGGTGCCAGACAGGCTGGTCTTGAGTATTTCAAAAACTGCTGATCTACTGGGATTTTCATGCACAACCATCTCTAGGGTTTACAGAGAATGGTCCTAAAAAGAGAAAATATCCAGTGAGCTGCAGTTATGTGGGCAAAAATGCCTTGTTGATGTCAGAGGAGAATGGGCAGACTGGTTGCTGTGACATTCAGATGGTAGGGTCAGAATTTGGCATAAACAACATGAAAGCATGGATCCATCCTGCCTTGTAGCAACAATTCAGGTTGGTGGTGGTGGAATGGTTTAGGGGATATATTCTTGGCACTAGCAGGGGGTACGTAATAAAGTAGCCGGTGAGTGTATATCCCCAAAGGAAAAAAACTGTTGCTGTTAGCTGTAGGTTAACTTTAATTTGTTGTTTGAGTTCATCTAAATTTGCTAGTGGCTCTGACACTATCCTCTCCCCATATTGACAATACTGCTGTCCCTGTTGCTCAAGAGTGATGACCCCCCTAAGACGGGAAGTGTGTTACTGGCCATTTTTCGGGTTTAGTATCGCTTTAAGGGTGGTCCATCTTGCAGCTTTTATTAATGTCAGAAGGAATTAACATACTATATCTCACAAAAGTGACACATACATGCACAGATCATAAACACATTGCAGTGTAGGGGAAAAAAAATCACTATTGCTCATCTGATTAAAGTGCTAAACTTATGACTGTTACTTATTTGATTATACAATGTTTGGTGTAAACACGGATATAACTAATGAGTTGATTTGGCTGGGTGTCAGTCCATAACATAAAGTGCACCTATAATGAATGACATTTGGGAGCTCTTTTACTACAACCCCATTTCCAAAAATGTTGGGGCGCTGTGTAAAATCTACATAAATACAGAATGCAATGATTTTCACATTTCATAAACCCATATTTTATTCACAATAGAAAATAGAAAACATATCAAATGTTTAAACTGAGAACATGTGCCATTTTATGAAAAAAAAAAAAAAAAGGTAATTTTGAAATTGATGGCAGCAACACATCTCAAAAGATGTTAGGACAGCGCAACAAAAAGCTGGCAAAGTATGATACTAACAGGGAAGAGCTGGAAGAACATTTTGCAACTCATTAGATGAATTGGCAACCGGTCAGTAACAAGATTGTGTATATAAAGAGCTTCAGAGAGTCAGAATGTCTCAGAAGTAAAAATGGGCAGAGGTTCATCAGCCTGTGAAAAGCTGCATCTAAAAATTGTCAAACAATTTCAGAATCATGTCCTCAATGTACAATTGCAAAGACTTTATTTAACAGTAAAAGTTTCTATTAAAGATTGCAGTCTACAGTCAAATAAAAAAAAGTACATAAAAGAACATGTAAAGAGTTACATGAAACAACCACAGACGTATCAAAAATTTACAAGATAAAATATGGATTGCCATACACAATACAATGATGCAGTATGGTATCCAAATAAAATAGCAGAGTATACCACAAAGACTTTAACCACTAGTCTACTGGGCACTTTTACCCTCTTCCTGCCCAGGCCAATTTTCAGCTTTCAGTGCTGTCGCACTTTGAATGATAATTGCAACACTGTACCCCCCAAAAAAATGTATAATTTTTTTGAGACAGAGCTTTCTTTTGGTGGTATTTAATCACCACAGGATTTTTTACTTTTTGTTAAAAAAACAAAAAAGACTGAAAATGTTGAAAAAAAAAAAAGTTTTTTTCTTAGTTTCTGTTATAAAATTTTGTAAATATATTTTTCTCTTTCACTGATGTGCGCTAATGAGGCTGCAGTGATGGACACTGATAGGCGGCACACTGATTGGAACTGTTAGGTGGCACTGACGAACACTGATAGGCAGCACTGATAGTTGGCACTGAAAGGCAGCTCTGATGGGCATTGATGTGCACTGATGGGCACTGGTATATGGCATTGATGGGCACTGACATGGCGATTATGGGCACTGACAGGTGGCACTGATGGGGCTACACTGAGATATGTTTTCTGTTGTGAATAAAATATGGGTTTATGAAATTTGAAAATCATTGCATTCTGTTCTTATGTAGATTTAACACCACGTCCCAACTTTTTGTTATTTGGGTTGTAAAATCATAGGCTCTGGGTCTGTCATTCTGATCCAAGTTTACCTAGTGAGTCCCGGAGCAACTGTTATTCTAGCAGGCTGATAACAAAACCTACAAATCCCTATTCTGCATGCATTTGAAATAACATTTATTATCAGTTTATAGAGTAGGGAAGGGCCAGTACCTCTGTCCCTTTCTCATTGCTAGGTAGAATTTCCGCAACTTCCAGGCCTTCAGACACAGCAGGAAGTGAGTAGGAATCCCATCAGTTAGGTGTATTCCTTTCACAGTTATCATTGTTCCTAATGCAACATTCCTCCTCATCTCCTGACAACTGTAAAATGTTTTGTTTTACACTCACAAATAACAGATATATCCATAACTGATACATAGATATCAATAAGAATGTGACAGAGGTCCTAACCCTTCCCCACTTTTTCGAAAAATTCTAAAAAAGGGTTGAGCTTGATTTTTCACTGTAACAAGTGGAAGGAGCAGCAATGTACACTATTGGGCCAATCAATAAAAATGTGAGAAGCTTAAACTCAGCAGGTCCTAGATGGAAATGTGAAAAGAAATATATGAATTAGAAACATACCTCAAATCACTGTCAGCACAGTGGCTTTGTGGTTAGTACCTCCGCCTTGCAGCACTGGGGATCATTGTTCAAAACCCTGATTAGGACACTGTCTGCATGGAGTATACCTGTTCTCCCTATTTCCTCTGGGTACTCTGATTTTCACCAACACTCCAAAGACATGCTCGTAGGTTAAAGTGATACTGAAGGTTCACTTTTTTTAATATAATATAAAATAACAACCATGGCATACTTGCTCTGTACAATGGTTTTGCACAAAGCAGCCCCGATCCTCCTCTAATCATGTCCCACACCTTCACTCGTGGCTCCTCACCCCTGCTGAGTGCCCCCCAGTGCAAGCTGCTTGCTCTGAGGACACTTGTGCATGCTTGCCCCTGAGCCACCTCTGTGTGTCTGTGAGACACCCTGCTCCCTCCTCAGTGGCTGTTATTGACAGCAGTGGGAGTCAATGGCTCCCGCAGCTGTGTTTCAGCCAATGGGAAGGGAGAAACCCAGGAGAGCTGAGACTCTCATGCACAACACTGGATCGGGATTGGGCTCAGGTAAGTATTAGGGGGAGAAGCTGAGGGGGGAGCTGCACACCAAAGATTTTTTACCTTCATGCACAGAGTGCATGAAGGTAATAAAAGAACCTTCAGCCTGTAGAACCATCTCTGCATATGCTCCGTTTTCAATGGGTTTCTATGCTGAGCATTTCCTCCCATTCACACCTGAGCAGCCATTGTGACTATAGAGTCACATATGTGGGCATATACACAGTGGTGAATGACAGTTCACTCCCTCCCTCCACCTCCTCCTCCTCCTCCTCCATGCCCACTAACCAGCTAAACACAATGGGGGTGGGATATTACATGTAGATTAATGAATGCGTCACCTCCTATTTAAAGACACAGCCTGTGACTAGCAAAAAACCACCCACGCCATGTTATTTCCACAAAATAATAAAAATTTGATTTCAAATATGTATTTGTATGACAATTTAAAACAATTTACTGATATTTATTTTTACTCTGTATTCCGCTTTTTTGTTTTGTTTTTATTACATGTGACCAGCAGCAAAGGACTAGAGGGTCCTCCTGCCACTGTTTCCCTGCAGACAGGCTGGGAGAGAGCTGAGTCATGTGACAGCTATATATCGATTAGGATATGTTTTCTTTTTTAAATTAAAATAATTGCAATGCCAACATCCACATACAGAAATAGAAGGGATAATGTAAATTAAACAGTGTGCTTTTAATATCACTTCATAGGTAAAATAAATATATATATACACACACACAGTATGCACACCTCATTTTATTATTTTCTGTTTTTTGCAGACTGGTTGGTGGATAGAAGGCATTGCGATCTCAAGTGGCAGAACAAAGTACATAAGATCAGAGAGAAGATTAATCAAGCATTGCAGGACATGCCGGAACATGAGGATATCAGGAATCTGCTGTCCGGAACATGTATGTGAAAACTGACATGACGTGGGATATAATTGACAGTTCACTTTTGTTAGATATAAACATTTTTATGTTAAGAAATGTTGACCCCACTTTTTTCCCAGCGGTCTTTGCTGTTACAACTGGTACACACAAGGGAAGATGGTGACATCTACAGATAGTTACTGTATAAAGCACTTGAGTGGTGCAGAACCAATCATGTGTGAGCATCAGTGTTGTGCTTCAGCTTTAAGTTAGTTGATACCTGATCATATGGTTGGCTGGGGTACTATCATACAGTATATTATTACCAGTAAAAAAATTGTTTCTGGCTGATGTATTAAAACCTAATATTCAACCATGTCAGTATACTAAAGGTGCTCACACATACAGATTTTCTGCAGAGAAAGGTGCTGTTCTGACAATAGTTGTCAGTTGTTTGAGGACCACAGTCTGCCTTGTTCTTGAGCAATATTGCCTATAGCTCCCAGACAATGAGAAGATGACTCCAACCTGGCTGCTCATTTCTGTCACATTTCATTAGTGCAGTAGGCTAAATATATATATGTCCTTGTTTTTCCAGATATTAATTACTTCCACTGTTTGAAGATTGTGGAGATATTGAAGGGCACAGAAGCTGCCACTAAGAACCTCTTTGGACGATACTCTTCACAAAGAATGAAGGTGATTTATAGAAAAGGCTTACTGATCACATAATTCTAAGATGGTACAGTAGATTCTGGGTGTTAGCGTGAGCTAAATGTTTTCTTTTTGAATAACTAGCAGATTCTGTAATGCTCCAGTTCCAGGTCACATGACTTAAAGCATTTCTAAAGGCATTTTTTAAAAGATTAAAATAATAAACATGTTATAGTCATGTGCTCCATGCAATAGTATTGCACAGAGCTGCCCCAGACCTGCTGTTCCCCCAGTTCCCCCCAACCCCCCCCCCCCCTCACTCCCAAGACAGATACATACACATAGCCTGACTCGTCCCCGCCCCCCACTCTTCTCTACAATATATGATTGACAGCAGCAGGAGCCAATGGCTCCCATTCCTGCCTATTTCTCCTGTGAGAAGAGGAGAAAGACAGGGGAGAAGACCTGCAGTGCTGGATCGATATAGGACTCATGTAAGTGTTAGGTGGGTGGGCACAGCAAGTGGCAAAACATTTTTTACCTTAATGTAGGGAATTCTTAGAACCACTTTAAAGCATACTAAACCCAAAAACAAAAATGTATTATATTTCAGTTTACTAGTCCTAAATCCTCGCTGATTTAGTTTCCTTATTTTTGAGTTTTTTTCCTTTATGTTCACCTTGCGATACTGCCAATAACACACTGCCTGTCTTAGGATGACAAATTTTATTCACTGCACTGTATCTTTGGAGGAGCAGAGCTGTCATCCTAGGTTGCCCTGTTGATTTGAACAAACACCTCCACTTCTCCTCATCTCCATCACCTAGCAGGTCGTTGCTTTTTAGTCCACAAAATATAGCTGAGATGATTGATAACATACAGTGGGGATCGAAAGTTTGGGCACCCCAGCTAAAAATTTGTATTAATGTGCATAAAGAAGCCAAGGAAAGATGGAAAAATCTCCAAAAGGCATCAAATTACAGATTAGACATTCTTATAATATGTCAACAAAAGTTAGATTTTATTTACATCATTTACACTTTCAAAATAACAGAAAACAAAAAAAATGGCATCTGCAAAAGTTTGGGCACCCTGCAGAGTTAATATCTTCTGCCCCCTTTGGCAGGTATCACAGCTTGTAAACGCTTTTTGTAGCCAGCCAAGAGTCTTTCAATTCTTGTTTGAGGTATCTTTGCCCATTCTTCCTTACAAAAGTCTTCCAGTTCTTTGAGATTTCTGGGCTGTCTGTCACGCACTGCTCTTTTAAGGTCTATCCATAGATTTTCAATTATGTTGAGGTCAGGAGATTGTGAAGGCCATGGCAAAACCTTCAGTTTACGCCTCTTGATGTAATCCCCCGTGGATTTCGAGGTGTGTTTAGGATCATTATCCATTTGTAGAAGCCATCCTCTCTTTAACTTCAGCTTTTTCACAGATGGCATCAAGTTACCATCCAAAATTTGCTGAAATTTTATTGAATCCATTTTTCCTTCTACTCGTGAGATGTTCCCTGTGCCACTGGCTGCAACACAACCCCAAAGCATGATTGATCCAACCCCATGCTTAACAGTTGGACAGAGGTTCTTTTCATTAAATTCTGTGCCACTTCTTCTCCAAACGTACCTTTGCTCATTCCGGCCAAAAAGTTCAATTTTAACCTCATTGGTCCACAGAACTTGTTTCCAAAATGCATCAGGCTTGTCTATATGTTCATTTGCAAAGTTCAAACGATGATTTTTGTGGTGAGGACGTAGAAGAGGTTTTTTTCTGATGACTCTTCCATGAAGACCATATTTGTGCAAGTATCTCTTTATAGTGGAATAGTGTACCACAACTCCAGTGTCTGCCAGATCTTTCTGGAGGGATCGTGCAGTCAAACGTGGGTTTTGAATTGTTTTTCTCACAATCCTGCGAGCTGTTCTGTCTGATATTTTTCTTGGTCTTCCAGATCTTGCTTTAACTTCCACTGTTCCTGATGATTGCCATTTCTTAATTACATTCCGAACAGAGGATATTGACATCTGAAAACGTTTTGCTATCTTCTTATAGCCTTCTCCAGCTTTGTGAGCGTCAACTATTTTCAGTTTCAGTTTTCTAGACAACTGCTTAGAAGAACCCATGGTGCTGATTGTTGGGGCAAGGTCAGATGAGTCTGGGCATTTAAAACCTTTGACATTGACATCACCTGGTCTTACCAGACGATGATTGAGAACAATCCATGACACTGGCAGGTCTCAGCTTTGCAAAGGGGGCAGTGCATGCTATAAATTCTGCAGGGTGCCCAAACGTTTGCAGACGCCATTTTTTTGTTTTCTGTTATTTTGAAAGTGTAAATGATGGAAATAAAATCTAACTTTTGTTGACATATTATAAGAATGTTTAATCTGTAATTTGATTCCTTTTGGAGATTTTTCCATCTTTCCTTGGCTTCTTTATGCACATTAATACAAATTTTTAGCTGGGGTGCCCAAACTTTTGATCCCCACTGTATGAGATTTTAGTCAACGGAAGGACACAAGCTTTCTGACAGGACCCATGGGAATTTTTCTGAACTTGCAGAAAAAGAAAACTAATGTTGCCACTATATGTAAGGATTTGTGTGCAATATATTACATTTTTGTTCTTGGGATTAGATACAGTGGGTAAAATAAGTATGGAACACGTCACCATTTTTCTAGATAAACATATTTCTAAAGGTGCTATTGACATGAAATTTGCACCACATGTCAGTAACAACCTATGCACACCATACATACAAAGAAACCAAAAATAAAATACATTCAGAAGTTAAGTTATATGTAATAAAATGGAATGACACAGGGAAAACGTATTGAACACATGAAGAAAGGGAGGTGCTAAAAGGCAAGGAAAGCCAAGACACCAGCTGAAATCTATCAGTAAATATAAATCTATCCTGCCCCTTGTCAAGTGCAAATTAATATCATTTGGTTCAGTCTCAACTGATGGCCTAAAAAAGTTGTTGTCTCATTACCAAGGTGTTACAAAAGAAACCTCTCATGATGGGTAAACGCAAAGAGCTCTCTCAAGTCCTTTGCAACCTTATTGTTGCAAAACATACTGATGGCATTGGTTACAGAAGGATTTTTAAACTTCTGAATGTTCCAGTGAGCACTGTTGGGGCCATAATCCAGAAATGAAAAGAACATAATTTCACCATAAACTGGCCATGACCAGGTGCTCCTTGCAAGATTTCTGACAGGGCAGTGAAAAGAATTATCGGAAGAGTTGGCCAAGAGCCAAGGACCACTTGTGGAAAGCTTCAGAAAGACCTGGAATTAGAAGGTACAATTGTTTCAAAGAAAACAATAAGTAATGCAATCAAACAACATGGCCTGTATGCACTCTCACCATGCAAGACTTTATTGCTGAAGAAAAAGCTTCTTTAAAGTTTGCTGCACAGCATTTAGACAAGCCTGGGAGAATATAGTCTGGTCAGATGAGACCAAATTTGAACTCTTTGAATGCCATAATACACACAATGTTTGGATGTCAAATGGCACTGCACATCACCCCAAGAACACCATACCAACAGTGAAGTTTGGAGGTAGGCACATCATGGTGTTGGGGCTGTTTTTCAGCATACGGTACTGGCAAACTTCATGTCATTGAAGGAAGGATGGACCAAGACATTCTTGATAAAAATCTGCTGCCATCTACTAAGATAATGAAGATGAAACGAGGTTGCACATTTCAGCAAGACAATGATACAAAACACAAAGCCAAGGAAACTCTCAATTGGTTTCAAAGAAAAAAAATGCTGCTGCTAGAAAGACCCAGTCAGTCACCTGACTTGAATCCAATAGAACATCTATGGAAAGAAATAAAGCTCAGAGTTCACAGAAAAGGCCCACGGAACCTTCAAGATTTGAAGACTGTGTGGAAGAATGGGCCAAAATCACACCTGAGCAATGCATGCGACTAGTTTCTCCATACAGGAGGCATCTTGAAGCTGTCATTACCAACAAAGGATTTTGTCAGAAGTAGTAAATACATTTCAGTTATTGTGTTCAATACTTTTTCCCTGTGTCATTCCATTTTATTACACATAACTTAATTTCTGAACTTATTTGTTTTGGTTTCTTTGTATGTATGGATTACATGGGTTGTTACCGACTTTGTGAAAATTTCATGTCAATAGCACCTGTAGAAGTATATTCACTGAGAAAAATGGTGACATGTTCAATACTTATTTTACACGATGTACACGTTAAAACTGAATCTGATACACATAAACTTTTGAGTATATTTCTTAACCGCTCTCCTACCACCGTAGTGTATATATTTGGCCTGGTATGAAAGCGTTTATACCGGGATCATTGTTTAGGCTACAACCGTGATTCCCAGTATAATTTTTAGCCTCAGAAATTCTATATCAGATAAGACTAATCCAAGTGGCTAAGCAGCTGATGGATTAATTTACATTTGGCGGAAGGGGGTCCCATCCCCCTCCAGCCACCGCCACCTTTACCAGGCTCTCCTGAGCGATCGGGAAGCCCGGTAAGGATACGTCTAGCGCCATCCAGCTCCAGCAACACATTGAGAGGAACTGATGTTGCTCCTCCCACTGTGTGACGTCAGAAATCGGAAGTGATGAAATCCAGCTCTTTGTTTACTGGCCAAGTGAAGCAGCCGATCAGACTGATCTGTGTCTGATCAGCTGCATTGGAGGCCAGAGGAGAGGTCCCAGATCTCTCCATAAAGAGAATCTGTCACAGCCTATTGCTGTCACAAGGGATGTTTGCGTTTATTGTGACAGGAATAAAAGTGATCAAAAAAAACAGAGACAGAAAGAAACCGTGTAAAATGAAAAAAAAAAAACCAAATGTAAAAGCATCCTCGTTGAAAAGGTGAATACATGCATTGGTCCATGCACATATATGTAAACGGCGATCACACCACACATGTGAGGTATTGGCGCGAACATCAGACTGAGAGAAATAATTGTAGCACCAGACCTCCTCTGTAATTCTAAACTGACAGCCTTTAAAGGCTTTTAAGGCCTCGCCTAAGAATAATTTAAAGTACCGTAGTTTGTGGCCATTCCGGAGACTTGTGCAATTTTAAAGCGTGACATGTTTGACCCAGGGGCCCGGGATATTTGTTTATCCCTGAGTTCATCTTTTAGCATTGATGTTGTCAGACTTCTAACAAGGTGAATGTAGATTTTGTTGACAGTTGAATCAGCAAGGCAGAGCTGCTGCAGGCTCTGTGACACAATGCTGGTTTAGGTCATGTGACCAAGAACCAGGGTACCATGTTATCATCTTGTTGTAGCAGACATTTTCCATGTTCCCTGTCCCAACACTGTTTTTAAACTAGATCAGCTATATCTTGCATCTCCCTACAGTATTTGCTGCTAATGTATCTATTTACTGCAAATAAGAGCATGTAATAGCACTCGATTTCAAATTATTTGTTGTAGTGGCAGAGTTGCATAATAGGGCTGAGATTTTCCCAGAACTCATTTAGGTGTGTGTACACACACATTATAATACATATTCAAAGTCATTTGATTGGGGTGTTCATGACACCACACCAGATCTAAAGTTGTACCCATTGCATTTTTGCTAGCGCAGCACACCACAATGCTGTAATTCAGGTGTGGTGTGGAGGTTCCTTGTGGTACCATTCAAAGTGAATGGCACCACAGTTCACCAAGACACATAACACGTTTTATCGCAACACAGTAGTATGAATGGGCCCCTACACATTTGTTAGAATGCATGTAAAAAAAAATATATCTAATGCTTGCCCAACTTTCATATCTCACTAATATATATATCTCCCGACACAGGACTGGCAGGAGGTGATATCTTTATACCAGGTTGATAATACATATCTGGGTGAGTGTGAGATGTTTTATGCAACTTGATTTATATTGTACACAAATTTCATAAAATGTTATTTTCCTTTTTGACTTGTCAGCTATCTGAAAACTTCTAATTTGTGAATTTGTACAATCTGTTTTCCCCAATATTTCTATAGTGTTTGTTGTGTTGATATCAGTGTTGCAGTGGCTTTGTGTCCCCTTATTGTCCTCATCATATTGAAGTTTTACCAATAAAAATTACTGAAAAGAATGTTTCTGTGTTGCCTGTACCAGGTCAACTGGTAAACTTTTGCGACCTGTACTGAGAAAAACATTTGACTATCACCTCTATAGCAGCCACTATACATGAGGTTCTGTGTACTTTTTCATCCTAGCGGAGAGCGGCAGCCTTTGATGCGCAGTGTGAGTTACGAGATTCCAGCTCTGAAGAAGCAGATGGCTCGGTGTCAGCAGCTTTCTTTGGAGACTGAACGGCGGGCAGAAGAGTGTGTACAAGGAGCAGCTGAGCAAAGAGAGCAGTATTATAGCAGCTGCAAGCGCTATGGCATCACTGTAAGTGCTCACAGCCTTTATATTCTCCCATCTGAGCAACAGCTTCTGTTTGGAAAGTGTCTGCTCTCTGAACTGCTAAGATGAAGTCATATAGGTGACATTTATTTCTTTGTGCAGGGAGAGGACGTCCGTAAAGAACTTCAGATGTTAGTGTGTGATGTGCCATCATTGCTAAGGCAGGTTGGAGCAGACACAGCAGGATTGTTACCTGCAGTCGAGTTATATCAGGCTTGTGTGTCATTTGTGTGTGAAAGGTAAGAAGAAAAGGAGCTCTGTAAAGGGCAATAATTATTATAACAGGTTGGTTTCACAAGATTGCATAGTTTCAGTGTTTGAAAAAAATAATCAGAGTCAATTGAAAAATATAAAATTAAAATAAAAAAAACATGCATTTAGTCTATATGTATTGATTGCAATGTTGCACTCTGCAAGGCCCAATTTTGTAATTGCTCCCCCCTCCCTCTACTGAAAGAAAGTATAAACATTACAAAAAACCCTGTAGGGGGGAATGAGATAGATCATATGTTTGCCTCCCCTTTGGTTACTTGGTGCCAGGGGCTGACATTATCTTTCAGATGACGAGATTCTGGGGAATGGGGAGCAGTCCAAATTTCACTAGAAGATGGTGCAGCACAGTGCGGGGAGAATCTTCAAGCAAGATTTTAGGTACTCTACAGTCCCCAAATCATGCCAAAAGACAATGGTTTCTCACTCACCTAGGAGCTGTGAGTGAAAGCCAGGGAGATGTTAAGTATACAGATTTCCCTCCCATCCCCCTAGTGTCAACATCATATGATTATAATTGAAGTTAATGGGGATCAGAATGGAATAATTAGTTGTGGGGGTCCGTAACTAGCTGTGAGTAATTTCTTGGCTGAAACAATTGCTAATGTAGTTTGGACTTAAATTAACAAGTTATACTCACCCGATCTGTGCAGTGCTGTTGCACTGACCGTCCCCAATCCTCCTCTTCTCTGGTCCTCCGCAGGTTATCTCAGCTCCTCTTATTTGTGTGTCCCCCATAGTAAGCTGTTTATTATGGGGACACACGCTGTGTTCATGCTCCTGAGCTGTGCTCCATAGACATACACAGTGGGATCTAGCCCCACCCATTTCCTCTCCTCTACATTTGATTGACAGCAGCAAGAGCTAATGGCTCCTGCTGCTGTTCGAGTCCCTGTGTTAAGAGGAAGAGAGGGTAGAAGAGATGTAGCCATGCACAGCCCTGATCTCTTCTCCCCTCTTTTCCCCTTCACACAGGGAAATGGGAGCACAGACAAATAAAAAAATGTTTTTTACCTTAATGCAAAAAATGCATTAAGGTACAAAACGTATTTAGGATTAGTATCACTTTACAGCTTAACTCCAGGAATATAAAATGTTATCCTTGTAGTGGGGCTCATTAAATTATAAAAAATTCTATGATGATGCTACAGCACAGGGCAGTAGCACCTTTTTATGAAATTTGGGTTACTCTGTACTCCCTGGGATACCGCCGAAGGAAGTGGATATTGCCCTTGCCTAGGCAGGCAGGTCAGGTCAGTTCAAATTACGCAGATAATTGTTTAAGATACTGCTTGCATGCTGAAATATACTGTCAAACACTGACCCCATAAACATTTACATTATTATTCCACTAAATGATGTTCAGAATTGTTACAGAATAGGTGTATGGAAAGGAGCTAAGAGGACAGAGAGGAAGCTAAGAGGCAGCAGGAAGGTTGATCTTGTTTTCTGTCAAATTCTGGTGTGACTGTGAAGGAAAAGAGAGGCAGAGAGTTAACATGAGAGTACAAGGAAAGTTTAATTTATAAAGAGAGTAGAAGCACAAATCTGATCAAAACTGGAAGATGGGAGAAGCAAAAAGATAAGTAACAGGGTTAAGTCTAACTGATGTGGATTGAAGTAGTGACTGTAATGAGAGGAAAGAGAGCCATCCATACCGGAAGTGTTCCATTACAGTAGTTTGTAATATGGAGCTCTACTAGCCAGCTTGGTTTTGCACACAAGCAAAATCACATAACATTGTATGCATTAAACTGCTGATTAAAGTGCTGCCTTGGTGAATAAAAGTATCAGTTGCTGTCAAAACAAGGAAAATGTCTGGGTGATTCCAAACTATTAAGAGCTAAGTAAACATGGAGACTGACATAATTGCTCAATGTATTCACATGCTCTGCTTCCTATATGACACAGTAGTTGTACCTAAAGGTCCCTTTCTGAGTTTAAAGGATAAGTTCACCTAAAAACGGGTGGAACATGTAACATGTTTCAACTGCTGCAGCCTCTCCCTGACCTCCCTGCCTCTAGTGACAGTGAGACAGGGATCTTCTTCCCAAACTCACTGTTACAATTTAAAAAAACCACACTGCTGTGTAGGGCTCCACCCACCCAGCCGCATCATTCATTTACAGAGTTCTGTGAATGGAAGAACTCCCAAGTACCAACAGCCTTTACATCTGTCGGCTTGTAGTTCTCAATCAACTACCAGGCTGCTATTGAGTGCTCTAGGTAGTTCAATGTCTCTTCCTGTCGTGTAACAGCCTGCTCATACGAGGTATGAGCAGACAGCTCACACTGACAGTATGCTGGAATCCTGCATTGCACCTGTGATCTGCTGGCTCCTAGTAGAATAAAATAATAAATGCACATTTTTATACCTGCAAAAAGATTAGTTTTTTTACAAAAGTGAACTTATCCTTTAAGAAATCCAATTGTAAAGGATCTATTTATAAAGCATTTGTTGCATCTAGTGGCCAGGAAAAATGATGGTGACTTTTTGTTCAGCTTACATGAATTCATCTGACATTCGAGCAATGAATGTTTTATAAATAGACCCCTAAAATATTCACTAAAATCTGGGCAGTGTCATTTAGCACAGCCTAATTTTGGTTATACACAGTCTAGTATAACCTAGTATATACAGAGTATCCGTACGCTGTAGGTTATACAGTATACAGACTTGATTGGTCTGCCGTTATCTATGAAAGGAGTTAAGATATACTTAAATATATACACCTTTTGTTTTCAATCTCAGTTCTCCTGAGGAGTCTCTCCCACTTCTTCGCTATGTGCAAAAGAAGGGAGATACTACAGTTTATGAATGGCGCACTGAAGAGGTTCCACAAACTGTAGAAAGACCAGAAGTTCAAGAAACTGAGGACATTTCACAGCATGTAGTAGAGGGAGAGGTAAGTGATTGTATGTTTGGCCTATAAAACATCATGAATTCTGATGCCTTTTGTCCTTTTTAAATACTCTGTGTACGCTTTTTAGATTGACTGGGGTGCAATTGGACTAACTACAGAGACTGTGGCTCCGCAGATGTCAGAGAAAGTAGACTGGGGCATTGTTTCAGAGCCAGAGGTAAGATGCTGTGTTTGGCTTTATGAAGAATGGGATGCCTGGTGTGTATGATTTCATACTCCCATTATTAGCTAGATAAGCCACATGTCCCATGTCACTTTCAGTTTGTTTAGAGTAAATAAAAAATGGACCTCTGCTGTAGAGCCAACTGTATTGCATAACAACACATATGGGGTCCTGCCAACCTACTATAGAAAGATAATACTTTTATAATGACATTTTAGTGATTTTTTTTTTGTAATAATAGTAATAAATAATACTAATAATATTGAGTTTAGTAAGGCATAGCAGCCAATCTACAACCATCTTTTATTCCAATTTATTTGAACACCTGAAAGGTTTTAACTGGCTGGTATTGGTGCACTACTGCATATTGCACATCATCGCAGCATTTTGCATTGCCCTTTTACATAAACCCAAATGTGTCCTGAATTCTGTAATATAAATGTGTTCACCCTTGATCTGCTTGGTTTAAAGTAAATCAAACCGAGTAGCTTAAATCCCAGGTAATCTTTACCCGCCTCCCGCCCGCCATAATGATGGGCGGCGGTTCTCTTTTTCTTGGAGGACATGACGTCCTCCCACTCTAACTGCGCATGGACTCCCTCGGGGGCGCATGGCGTGGCAATCAGTGGTGCACTGTGTCCCTGAGACACAGCGGATCACCGATCACTGTAAAGAGCCGATGACCTTGGCTCTGTCATGTGATCAGCTGTGTCCAATCACAGCTGATCACATGTAAATAGGAAATGTCGGTTATCGGCAGTCCTCTGCTGACAGCTCGTGAGGAGAGGAGAGCCGGTAATCAGCACTCCTCAGAGGGGACATCTACACTGATCATCAGGGCCCTGATGATCAGTGTAGCCCCGTCAGTGCCACATACCAGTGCCCATCAATGCCACATACAAGTGCCCATCAATGCCACATATCAGAGCTTCCTTTCAGTGCCCGTCAGTGCCGCCTAACAGTTCCAATCAGTGCCGCCTATCTGTGCCAGTCAGTTCCGCCTATCAGTGCCATGTATGAGTGCTGCCTTTCATTGCCCATCAGTGATACCTGTCAATGCCAACAAGTGACGCTTTTCAATGGCCATCAGTGCCTCCTCATTAGTGCTGACTATCTGTGCCCATCACTGCAGCCTCATTAGCGCACGTCAGTGAAGGAGAAAAATCACTTATTTACAAAATTTTATAACCGAAACTAAGAAAAAAAACTTTTTTTTTTTTTTCAAAATTTTCAGTCTTTTTCAGTTTGTTTAGCAAAAAATAAAAACCCAGTGGTGGTTAAATACCACCAAAAGAAAGCTCTATCTGTCAAAGTGTGACAGTGCTGACAGCTGAAAATTGGCCTGGGCAGGAAGGGAGTAAAAGTGCCCAGTAGGCAGGTGGTTATAGAGTATTTTTATACCTTTTAAACCTGCAGCTTTCTATCAAAGTGTCGATCCTCCCATGAAAGTCCTTGTCTATGCACTTTCTTATAACGTCACAACTAGCTCTGAATTGTGCTACTGCATTGTCACTTTGTCACATGTGCCCCAAATAACAGATTACAAACAACTGTGACAACTCACATGCAGGCATGGTTCAATGTTATCACTATAAGAAAGGTGGTCCTGAGCAGTGATATTCAGCTGATGGTGGTGTGGGCGCATGTTTACAGGAAGTGGCTGAAGGAGGCTACAGGATCTCACCACCACTGATTTGCTAAACCTGTTTGAAAAAAAGATTAAATCTGTATTTTATGAAAAAATCCATGGTGTTTGAATGATATACATTGCTAAATCAAACTAAATGGTATTAAGTTATGCTTCATTCACATGGGCATACTACAGCGTACAACCGTGCAAGGGCCATGTGTACCTGTATGGGGTTGCACAGGTATTCTGTGCATCCATATGCAGGCAGTCCAATTCATGTCAATTGGGACACAGCTGCTGCATGGACATAGCTGCTGCTCTCAGTTTGACATCAGTGTGAATGCATGGCCCTGAATGCACACTGTCTGTTTTCGGTGCTTTGCACCTGCACGTATATCAAATTGAGTGAGGCAGCTGTGTCTGTGCAAATGCTGCGTCCCAATTGAAGTGACCAGGATAACGTGCAAGGGGATAAACAGAACACCTGTGCACCCTTATGCAAGTAAACACGGCCCTCATAGAGGTGTTGTGGTACTCCCATGCGAATGAGGCCTTAGGGTTTACATCTACTTTAATCTTTTCATGGCCAGACGCCATTGATGCTTAGATGCCCAGGCCAAGTTTAGCAGTTTTCATTCGTCAGTTAACTTGAATATAAATCTGTTATATTATATCTATAAGAAGTTGAACATAACATTCACCAAACATTTACTGTAGGTGAACTAGTCCTTTAATTTAAAACACATGTAACAGGAACATACATAAAATGACACCTGAGTTAGAGACCTACCAGTTGATGAACTTGTATTATGTTGACAGGCAGGAAGGGGTTAAGGTCCCAGTTAATAGGTGCACACATTTTCTTTAATAATGTTATTTAAAGGATAAGTTCACCTTTGGGAACATGTTATATGTTCCACCTGTTTTTAGGGTGGAACATGTAATGTTCCCAATGCTGCAGCTCCCGCTCCTCTTCCTGTGACAGCAGTACGGGGAGAAGTTTCCTGTACAAGCTGCAACTTTTTGAATAGAGTGCGGCTGTGCAGGGCTCTGCCCACATGGCCTTGTCATTCACTCACAGGGTTCTGCGAATGAATGAACTACAAGTACCGACAGCCTAGCAGCTGTCGGCTTGTAGTTTTCAATGAACTACCATAGTGCTATTGTGCATTCTGGTAGTTCATTGATTCTTCCTGTCAGTATATCCTGTACAGGCAAGCAGATAAACTGACAGATGTGCAGGAGACCTGCATGGCACCAGCGATATACTGATCACTGTTGCAATGGTTTACAGGTTGTCACAATTTAAAAACAGAGTTCTGTGAATGAATGAACTACATCTGCTGTCGGCTTCTGCGGCTGAAAGTTTGTAGTTCTCGATGAACTGTGCGGCACTGGTGAGCACTCTCGTAATCCATTAAATCTTCCTGCCATTCAGTAACTGCCTGCTGGTACAAGGTATGGGCAGACAGTGTACTGAGAGTTTGCAGGATCCATGCATTGCACCCGTGATCGTGGCTGCATTGCCTTACAGGCTGAAGTGTTAAAAAAATAATAAATACACATTTTTTACCGGCAAAAAGATGTGCATTTATTTTATTTTTTTTTTGTAAAAGGTGAACTTATCCTTTAAACGTCTTCATATATGTTTTTAAATATGCAAATGATTGCTACAGCTGGTCATCATTCTACTATCTAAGGCTATAGTTGATGTTAGCTGTTCATTCCAAAAAATGACATAAACAGTGATTGGTGGTTATTGTATATTTCAGGGTACAGATGGCATTGTATGGGACATTACTGAAACCTCTCCTTCTGAAATCATCTCTGTTGTGGAAGCTGGTCATGATGGTGAGACATACACCTAAACATTGAGGATTTAGCAAAGAACAACAGAAAGGTGGCCAGAATTTAAAATTTTTAATTAAACGCTATAAATGAGAACCTTCATTTAGGCTCAGGTCCTACAAGAGTGATTTAAAGCTGTTTTCGAGAAGTGCTTTAACACACAAAATGAGGTTTCCCATTGTATCCTATGGTACCTGTTCACACCTAAGGAGCGTGTCAATTGAAGCCTGTAGCTTGAAGATTAATAGATGAATGTCTTTGGGGCAGTGCGTTCTGTTTCCCTAATGGGTGTGCCTGAAAAATTCGCTTTTTTGTGCGATTTCTTGCCTCTCCATCTCTTAGTAACTAACTTTCCAACTAACTTTTAAAGCAAAATAGCTCAAGCCTGAAAAACGCTGTGTGTATCTTATGGACACACACAGCTGGCTCGTGAGAGAGCATGCACGAATGCCCCCATAGCAAGCGGCTTGCTGTGGGTCCACTCAGCAGAAAGAAGGAGCCAGGAGCACCGGCGAGGGACCTGAGAAGAGGGAACTCGGGGCTGTACTGTGAAAATCCATTGCACAGAGTATGTAACTATCACGTTTGTTATTTTCTTTTTAAAGATTACCTTTAATATCACTTTATATTTACAGGCATTTTTAAGCATGTTTGCACTGAGTTTGAATAAGCACTATCGGGGACAAAGTCATTGTCCAGGGTGAATTTTAATAGAAAATTGCCCTTTTCCCCAGTAAGTAGCTTCTTAGGTTCTCCCCATCCCTACTCCACAGCCAAAAGTATGCACATTTGCAGAATGCTTGTGTGTACAACAGTCTTTATTAAAAAGATAATTTGGTGATTGAAACAGCCATTTAAAGACTGAAGGCACCTAGTTCTTACTAAGAGTAAATAATGTAGCAACTTTGGATGATATTCTTGAAAAAATTTTATTTAATAAATCTTACACATCCATTAATTGAAATGAAGATTTTCTCTGTTTCAGTACCTGTTGGTGTGGCACGAGGAACTGATGCTCTTACAGTTCTGGAAAATACAGAGACCCGAATCCAGTTTGTGGATGAACTCATGGAGGTGAGTTGACACTACTTTACTTCCCTTTATGTAATGCGCTTTTCCAATGTTGTAGAAATTCAATGCTGTAAGAGCTCCCATAAGCCACTCCATCGGTCTGTGGATTTGAAATCCCTGCTGATTTCTCTCCTCTTCCTACTGTGTTGCCAGTACAGACCAGACACATGGATGGCACTGACCAATCAGAATTTGTCTAGTCTGTCCTGTAAGCACTGGGTGGAAAGGAGAGGAAAAAAGCAGGTGAAGCAGCTTGCAGGAGCTCTGACAGCTCAGGATCATGGGAGGTAAGTACAGCCGGACCAGGGGGGCAGAGAGTGTCCAGTGTTAGGTCACATTTACAGATGTAACACTTTAGATGAAGTTCCAATGAGAATAATTTTTTAACTAAGGTGGGTTCTTTCTACCTGGTGAGAAAAATGATATGTTTTTCTCTGTGGTATTGTATTTTCTTAACTGTATAGGAATGTTGTAAAATGCCGGGTGACTTCGAGAGCTGCGGAGCAGTGTAGTAAAATGCAGACATGTGGCAGTTTTACACACTGCTCTGCTCCACAGCTGACAGCTATGTGTTAGTGTGAATGGGGCACTCAGAAAGCCGATGTTTTCTGTGTGATCTTGCAGATAGCTATATTTTTCTTCTGCAGAAAAACGCAGCTCTCTGCACAAGTAAAAATATCTGTATATATCATTACCAAAAGAAGGGAAAGTGCAAGCAAGTTGAAATGTAAAGATAAACCTTTGCTTTACAATAAACATTGATGTCCGGTTCACATCACATGCAGTCCAGTGCTTTTTTTCTGCATGTAAGTTATATGATTTCCAATGGCATAGTTCTCACCAGTGTGGTCAGTTCCAGTGTGTTCCGTGTTCCAGTTCCTGTACTGGAACATGGGAAATCACACTGAAACGCACCAAAAATGCATCGGCATGTCCCTATTTAAGGTGAAAAAAAAGGAGAAAAATACACAGGAATGCATCAAAAATGTGCATGTAGATACGCATCCAGAACGCATCTGGACTGCATTTCTATGGTGTGAACTGGCCATGAGTCAGAATAATTGTTCAATGGAGCCTAATAATGTCTTACATAGCCTATACTTTCCCTAATAGAATTTTGGCCTTGCTATCTTTCTTTTGAAATCTAACCCTTTCATTGAACCCTTGTGTTTAAGTAAATGTAATATAGGAAAGGTTATAAGATCCCATGAGGTGCAAAATCATATCTGCCGTACAGTTTCAATTCTCTGATGACGGTACACAGGCTTTGAAATAGACCACTCAGTCACTGAACACTTCATTGTGGAATGGGAAAGCTTATTCGGTCTTTACTGCAGAAGTTTTGATAATACAGGGGAGCTCTGACTGTGTTCTTGGGAAATGGGGGGGGGTTTAAACAACAAAAACATAATTTGTGATTATGGTGCCTAGTATTCATCAGGGATTTTAGTTTTGTATATTTTTTCCCAATACTTGTTTAGTTTAAGATGTTCATTCAGTATCTGGTTAGAAAGAACAACATGGCAGTTACTGCTTTGTGTGTGAATTAACATAAGCACTCAGAAATAGTCAGCCATATGTAACAAGCAGGATAAAGAATCTGGCTATGAAACTATGCATCTTTCACTTTACATACTATTCTATACTATACTAAGAATAAAAAGGTTGTCCAGAAAGTACAACAAATAAGGAGAATTGTGTGCGTGCAGATTTGAGTTTATGTCGGATTTAGTAAAAGTGAAAATCAATTATCCAAATACATCTGGACTATGATTTGTTCATTAGTCCATTCATCTGTATTTCTACATACTATTCCTTGTTATTATTTGAACTGTTCTTCCCCATTTTAGCCTTGTCATGTCTTTCTATCATTCTGATTGTATTTTCTTTCCATTTAAGCTCGAGCTTTTCCTGTCTCAGTGGCTCCAAGATTTAGATAGTGATGCTGACATTGTAACAGTCACACAGTTCCAGACTGCTCCAGTCATCCTGCAGGGACAGACCCGGGGGAAAGTGATCGCAATGTTGTCACATGTTAGAGATCTAATTGGCAGGTTAACAGATGTGAGAATGCGACATCTTTTTCTCATTCTGGCCTCGCCGCGGTAAGTGTGATCTAGTATGTGAGGATGGTTTTCTGTGCATGTATGTTTAGCTCTGTACTTACTACAGAATACATATCTGCAATCCTGGATAATCTGTGTCCACAGATTATTATTTGATGTAGGCATTGACATTATTCATCTTTATAGGCTATGATAACCGTCCGACAGAGAAATTATAAGAAAGCCTAAGCCAGCTGAGTAAACATTTTTTGGTCAGTAGACTGTTCCCGAGAAAACAGAGGTGCTGTAGGATAATGCATAATAGCCATATGCTGTAATGTTAAAGACAAGTCCTTTTTTTCTGTGTTGTCCATTGGGAGACATTGGAATTGTAGAAAATCTTAAACAGTCAGATAATACTGTCTGCTTCAGAAGGTTGGGACATGGACCCCGCCTTCAACCATCATGCCTCAGATTTTTGCTAATGTACCAAGAGGTTTGGACATCTTTTCCTCGGCTCTGCTGGGCATTGGGGTCTTCATTGAAATTTTTCAGACCTCTGTGTTCTGTGTTATTAACTGTAGAGTGCTTTCCAGGTTCAGAGCTGTGTCATAGCTTCTGGTGTTACCCAGTCTCTGAGGACTCACCTGATGAATGAAGCCAGTTTGGCTGAAGCCTCGGGAGCCACTTCACAGTTGGTACCATTGGGCTTCATTTTAAAATTCCCACTTCCACCATCCTAACAAGTTAATGGCTAGGGGGGAAGGAACTAAGTGTCAACATCATCCATTGATGGTGTGCTTTGCATACTCTATGTTTATTTTCCTGTCATTCAGCCTAAAGGAAGCACTATCCAATTGCTACTCCTGCTTCTGAAGCACCTCGTGGATTACCCACTCTTTGGTCTAGTTCCACCATGTAGTTCTACCATTCTATTGGAGGATCAGCCACTGTTCCTGGCATAGGGTCTTTTAGAGCTCTTACTACTGCAAAGACCTTTCCAGACTGGAAACAACCTATGGCATCATGGTTCCCTGTTGACAATGTGAAGGTGCTTTTTCTCTTTGAAAGGGAATTTAGTGACAAATGGTCTCTGTCCACTATTGACAATACTACCATCCGCCTTAATCTGAATATCACTAAACAGGTTGATCATGTCGTTTAGTGATTTCACTAGGATCTTTTCACGTGGACATCATCCGTTTAATCATGATTTCAAAGAAAAAACGGATTCAGTTTACATCAGTTTTTCAACAATTTTTTAAATCCACTAGCTAGAGTCCTTAACCACTGGAGTCCCACTTAAAGGGCCAGTTCACACCAGTGCATTTTAGCGCAGCTGTAAAATGCCGATCAACAGAAGGACATCTGAAAAACAATCATTTCCAATGTGTCCTATTCACACCATGACGTTGCATTTTGTTGCGCTAAAATGCAAAATGTATGTCAATAAATTACCCAATTTTTTTGTAAAATTTCAAAGATGAACTTGTACTGTGTAAATAGTTACCCAACATGTCAAGCATTAAAATTGTGTGCACACTTGAAACAGAGAAAAAAAAACTTCAGTACCCAATATTTTCCATAGGCGAAGATTTAAAATCCCCTACAGGTCATCAGTTTAGAGATACCCAAAAGCTCTGGTGCTAAAATTATTGATCTCACTCTGGGGTGCGAGTTGATTTATAACATGTGTAGCGCAAATGCCTTTTTTGTACATAGGTGCCCCAGCTCACTGTGTTTTTGTATGTATAATGTGTGGGGATGGGGCGCAAACTTTTTTAAAAATGTTTTTTTTTTTTTTTTTTAAACAAGACTTTATTGGTACAGTGCCGATAAACTATACAAAGGGGCGGGGTCACCTGGTGACTCTACCCCTTTTTGTACTTCAGCGGTGGGGCCAAATGACAACTCCTTCTCTGGCGCTAAAGAAAACAAAGTAGCCTGTATATACACACTGCTCCCTCACTGTAAGCATTGCTCCTCTCTTTGCACACACTACTCCAGCCTCCCCCTGCCCCCTTTTGCGGTATACACTTCCTCCTCCCTGTAGCTCAGTCTGGCATATTTTTTTTTAAATATCTTTTGTTTACATTGTGCTCTCAGCAGGGAGTCCCCGCTGACAGCAGAGATGAGTCGGTGGTTGTTCAGACCTCGTCGGGTGCCGGTTCCTAACAACCAATGAAAAAATTGATGTTAAATGGGTGATAAACGGATGATTATTTGCTTACAATCGTTTGTCTATAGACATGCATTGCTGTCTGTTTTTCATCCATCATCGGATGAATGAAAAACGGACCAACAGTCGGCCTGTGTGAAAGGGGCTTAACAGACATTTGGACTCCTTACTTGGGTCTCAGTTTGAATCAACTGGAGTAAAGGCTTGTTCACACCAGGTGCATTAAGCTGCATTGATTAATAGATGCTCAATGCAAGGAGCATTGAAAACAAATGTTTTCTATGTGCCCTGTTCACACCATAACACATTGTATAAATATTCAGCATGTCTGCAGGTTTTCACAGTGCTTGAAGGCACCACGTGCCACCACAACACACTGTGGCGCATAGTGTTTACTGAAATGTTGAGAAATTACATTTTACTAAAGTTAAAAAACAAACAAACAGTAAACCATTTAATGTTTTGTAACAATCCATCGTGCCACCCTTCACACCATCACACACGCATTAAACAAAGCATACCTTCTGCAGGGTGGTGTGTGCAAGCCTTAACTCTCTGTCTTTTGTTAGCGGTGACTTTGTGAAACCATGTATCAATAGACCATATCTCTTAAAGAGGACTGCTCCAGCACAAAGGACTTTTGCAAGCCTCTAAGCTTCTCATGGAGATGATGTCGATTCACATGTGTAGCGCCCTTTGCCAAAAGTATGGGATGCTGAGTTAATGCCTAAGAAGCATCTTAATTCACTTTTAAGGGAAGACCTCTCTACACACCTATCCTTGACAGTGTCATTCCTATTGCTGTTGGTGGTCACACTGTACGCCTGCTTCAGCACAAGTGGTCTGTGGATGGGACAGTGGAACAGCTACTTTCTGTGACGATCGCGGCGTCAGACCCCAGCCCTTCTCACCAAACTCGTGACCGAAGGACTAGCCAATCTAAAACCGCGCTGTCATGTGCGTAACAGTGCCACGCCCAGCTGCACCCTGCACAAAGATTTTCCAGCTAATGGACCACAATCGATGTACCTGAAGCCTGAGAGCGATTGTTACTGGGTCAGGTTAATTACGCAATTAACCCTTCACAATGCCACCACCTACTTTTTATACAGAGAAAGAGGAAACTCGGCAATATCAGCAATAACACTATGATGTTTGAATAATCGTCTGTATACCACTGTCATCGCAGGCAGGGTATACAGAGGTTTAAACCACACAGTAGTGCTCTTCAGAGACAGGGGTTCTTAGTTTGCATTAAAGAGCTTTAGAAACAGTTCAACACTTTCAGAAAGTAAGATTTATTACTAAAAGGTCAAAAGGGTGCAATAAAAATATTTACAGAAAAAGATGTAGCCAATATATATAAATATACAGAGAGCAATAACACAGCAAAGAGATAGCAGAAAGAAGTTTAGAGAGATAAAGTACTTGCCGTCAGCCTTGGTTTAGCAGATCACGTTTTCTGAGCAAAAGGGCCTTATCTCCCAAAGTTAGTTCCGATGTTAAAAGGGAGCTTCTTCAACTCAGCTTAGCTCAGCTTGGCTTTCTGCTTTTCTAGGAACTCAGCAGGGTGCCTCCTTGATTCAGAGAACCAATCGCCTCATTTGGGGAGGGTGTTGGAGGTGGAGACCCCAGCTAGAACCAAAATCCCTCCCAAGTTGATACCAGGGCAATAACTTTCCCTGGATACATGTAACATTCTATCCACAAGTAGATTATTATGCAGAATTACCTGCCGAACGTCTAGATATGAAATGTGACATACCTGCTGGGATGGTTAAGGAGATATCGTTTTCTGCTCTCCTGTAGATTCCAGCTCGGGGATGTAAGATATCAGGCGACTTGTATTAAAGTGACCCATCTGAATATATGCTTGGTTTTTATGTAAGTCTTTCATATTCCAAGATATGAAATCATAGGGGAAAAGGGGATTTTTAAATGTGAGTCCGTTTTACGACTACCTGGAATGTCTTTGAAGCTCAGTGAAGGACTGGTTTTATGGCTTTATGATATCCCAGATTGAGAAGCTAACAGACATCTGGGCACCAGTTAGGTTGGGATTTTATAGCCCTGGAGCTCTCCCACTCAGCCTGATTGCCTGTGATCTCTGCATCATACAGACCACATGTAACTCAACAGAGAGGGAGGGGGGATTTGGAGGGGAGAGAGATACAAGATGGAGGATCCTTAGCAAGATGGAGGACCGCGTCCATCTTTGTATGCACAATTGCTACGTCCCACCTAAACTAGACTGAGAAGCCAAAAGCCTTCTGGCTCATCTGCTTAACTATCTGGAAGTTGCTCCCCCACTTTTGCAAATGACGACTTTGTCCATCCTACTGGTCCCTTGGTAATTTACCTCCTTGCAGCTTGGATGTTCAGGTTTAACCTCTTGACGTCCGCCTGCTGTTTATAAACGGCAGGGCGGTGGCAGTCCAAGGTCGGGTTGCCGTTCCTAAACAGCACCCGCCTTTTCTAGCTGTGCGCGCTCCCTAGGAGCGCGCACCACCGCGATCCGGTGTCCGCTGTGTCCTCCGGACACAGTGAAACACCGATCGTCGGACGGGACCTCTGTACGAGGTCCCGGTCATGTGATCACTGATTGGCGAATCAGTGATCACATGCAAAGTAGTAAGCAAGATGTCACTTGTGACATCATTGCTTACTACTACGTGTGAAATCTGTGAATGATCACAGAGGTCACATGGTACAAGGCTATTCACAACAGCCTTGTACCATGTGACAAGCTGTGACCAATCACAGCTCACTCAGTATTTCTCAATGACTGCAAGAATGCAGACAGAGAGAAAGAGAAATGATTGCTTTTACATCCTATATGGGTGTAAAAGCAATCAGTGTAAAAAAAAAAAAAAAAATCTTCATCACCCCCCACAAGTAGTACAGTGTCACCATGGTGACACTGTACTGCTAAGGTGACAGTATGTAAAAATAAAAAATAAAAATAAAAAATAAAATAAAAATGTAAAAAAAAATGTTTAAAAATTATAATGTTTGGTTATAAACTAATTTGGATTTTTTTTTTTTATTAAAAAAATAACGGAATAAATTTTGGCCAAGATTTAGGATGAAATATTATTTATTTGCAAAATTTTATAAAAAAAAACACTTTTTTTCAAAATTTTTGGACTTTTTCATTTACATAGTAAAAAAAAATAAAAATCCCAGCGGTGAATAAATACCACCAAAATAAAGCTTTATCTGTCTCAAAAAAATGGTAAAAAATTCATATGGGTACAGTATTGCATGACCGCGCAATTGTCATTCAAAGTGTGATAGCGCTGAAAGCTGAAAATTGCCCTGGACAGGAAGGGGGTAAAAGTGTCCGGACAGGAAGTGGTTAACTCTGTAGCTTACACTCTAAACTTGTAAATCAAGCACCTCCTTCAGCTGCCCTTTCTCACCCTTCTGGTATTAGAAACAAAATACAACAATAGAACCACCTGGGACTTTATAGGCAAATCCACACATAATTATTATTATTTTTCTTTTTTTTAGGGTTTTTTTTTGTGTTTCTGTGCTTTTTGTATTTGCATTATTATAGATTTTGTGTTATGGCTATGTAATTATGGCTATATATGCTTTTGATGTAAAGATGGAGCTGCTGTTTGTTGTCCTTAGACTGGGGGGTGCTGGTATGCTTCATTCTGGGCCCATCAATCACCACCTGACACTCGAGTGCCTCCCTTGTCTCTCCAGTCTGGGGCGGCCCACTGACCTAAGAAAGGAATAGTGCCCGCTTTGGTCCTTTCAGGGGGATCTGTTTCTGTTTGATAAGAAGGGCTATATAAGCAGAGAGGCATTCTATGACAGATGGCATGCAGGAAAGGACACTGTATTCCCCATATACGTATATGCAATAAATATAATTCGGAGCCTTATCTCGTCTGAAGGTAATTATTCAAGTTTCCTTTAAAATAGAGGAACTTGAGCAGTAGGTTCTAATCTCCCTACACAGTGTTGGCCGTAGACATGGGTGCAGGCTGCAGGACCTCACATGTAAGGGGCTTATAGAGCTCATGTTTTTGTACATCCACATCCTGATTGGCCACACTTGGGGGTGCTCTTTTGGATGATACAATCCTTATACTGCTTATTACACCAGTTCAGTCTCCTTGGTCAATGAAGTTCTGTTCATATCCAAGTAATCGGTGAGCTCTGTTTACTTTGTTTTAATCTAATCTGCCTTTGAAATCCACTTTATATACAAATGTTTTGAATTTTTATTTACTTATAGACTTTGTAAATGGGCCATAGTCTTCTGGGACCTGTGAAGTGCCCCAGAGGGCTGTGGGGAAAGGAGGGGGCCAAACTTCCAGGTCAGTTCGCTGCGGCAACCTAAACTGGAAGTGGGAGCAGGTACCTGTCAAAAAGGTGCAAAATGTGAGAGCGGACGGGGAGGAGGCAGACAAGTGGAGCTTCCCTTTTTGGGTGGAACTCTGCTTTTAAGAAGATTAGTTGTCTAGCGGGTATAAACCTGTGTTTTCTTGGACCTCCCTCTCCCCAAAGTTGAAGGGGCAGGCATTTTCAACTGCACCTATGGCTGTTGACCGATTGGTCTCTTTCCTGGACATTTTATTGGACATATTCTATGTGTCCAAGTTTCCTTTCCTAGAAATTAAGGGTTAGATATTCTAGGTTTTAATTGCCCTAATTGTTTTCACCTCTGGACACAGTTTGTCTGATTGTATACTGGGCTTGGTCCTGTATACATTGTGTTTTTTACCTCTTGTTGTGCTACTAGTTTTCTCTCCTGTTCAGGTGCTATGGCAGTAAGATCTTCACTTTGTTGGATCTGTTAGTGCCCACTCCTCAGATTGACTGCTTATACGCATTTCAGCTGTTTAGAATTTCTTCAAATCTTGTCCCTTAATAGATGATGAAGAAAATAAGATTTTTGTACTTGCTGTAACAATTTTATTCTTAACATCCATTAAGGGACCCAAGTTGTAGTTATTATTGTGTTATTGGCCCTGATTTACTTCTTGCTCACAAAACTGGGACATGACGGTTGGAGGTGGGGTCATGTGAAGGCTGGCTTAATGTTTTTTGTTCTCCAGTATTGTAACCATTTTTAGGCAACAGTATAGCCCGATTGTTTAAGAATTTCTACACATTCTTGGTCCCTAAATGGATCTTAAGGTAAGTACAAAAAACCTATTTTATTTTAACTTTTCATTCACTGCCTCTGCGTGTCATGTGTCCGCAGCAGCTGGGGATTTTGAACAATTATGTAGCAGCTGGGAACATGTGTAAATCTTACAAGCCAGCTTTCAGATGAAAGCAATTCTACACACCCTTGGAGCATTTGCCTTGCCATGTTTCCTGGGCTCTACACTCCCATTTGTGGACTTGGGATCAGCATGGAGGGTGCCACCAGGCACAGAGAAAAGAGTCCAGTGAACGTCTGTTCGCTGATCTTTCCTGTCCCTTGCAGTTTCTGTTGTCTCTTTCCCTGCTGCTGTGGCCATGGAAAAAGCTAATAGAGCGCAATCTCACTCCCTTAGACTCATTGGGGAGCAGATGAGACATTACCCCTGATATCTTGTTAAGTTTAGTGTAAAAAAAAAATAGTTACACTCAAAGATGTTTGATTGCCCCCCATATACACATTCGCCTACACACAAAAACATCAATTGTGATGCACGTTACATATCGCTGCACACACCAGAGTGAGAGCAGTAATTCTAGGGCCATTATTCACAGGCATCTCTAAACTGATGACCTTTAGGGACTTTTAAAACATCACCTATGGGAAAATATAGGGTACCAAAGTGTATTTGCCCTTTCACGGGTGCAGGCAATTTTAAATCTTGACGTGTTGGGTGTCTGTTTACTCGCAACAACCTCATGTTTTACACTTTACCATAAATGGGTAATGTATTGCATTTCTGCACAGTAAAATTAACATCTGTGCAAATTGTTGGTGCAAAAATACACTAAGTGTTACTGAACCTATCACCCTGCAATCACTATATCTGGTCTCCCACAGCACACAGAACATGGAAATGCAATTATTTTAGTAAATATAAACTGCTAAATGTCTTTTCTCATTAGTGCCCGGCCAAGCACTGGTTAAAGCTCGTAGGAGGCGTTTTCATTCTCCTCTGACTGTCCTATGAACTTTCTAAACACAGGGCCAGTTTACTGTCCTTCACACTTTAGGGAGCCTGGACTGTTGTCAGTGGGAGTAAAAAAAAATATCCTAGCGTAAGTGGAAGTAAACCATGCCCATCTTTGGAGTCAGTAGGAGCAATAGTGCCCCATCGTTGGTATTTTGGAGGGAGAAATAGTGCCACATTATTTGTGGCCATGGGAGTAATAGTGCCCCATTATTGATGTCAGTGGGAGGAATAGTGCCCCATCATTGGAGTCAGTGGAAAAAATAGTGTACCATCATTGGTGTCAGTGGGAGAAATAGTGCCACATATTTGTGTCAATTGAAGGAATTGTGCCCCATCATTGATGTCAATGGAAGGAATAGTGCCCTATTTTTGGTGTCAATGGAAGGAATTGTGCTCCATTGTTGGTGTCAGTGGATGGAATAGGGCCCCAAGGGCTGTATAAAGACAAGCAAAGTGCCGCAGTTTGGAGACCTCTAGTCTAGACAGTACTGATTGGCCCTGCAACGATCAGATGCACCCTCAAAAAAACAAAACTCTCAATACACACCTAACCGAGCATATGCAGAGTGCCTCCTAGGGCTCTGTACTGTCAGCAGATGGATTGGGGACCATGAAAGAAGGGGAGGATCAGAGAAGACAGAAACACACAGCCTTTTTACACAATGTGGAGGATTAACCCCTTAGGTTCCATAGTATGTATAACAAACATGCTTTAGTGCATATACAGATTGATTTTACTGTTGTGGGATTAGTAACACTTTATTAAACCATTGCACTAATTTTATGGGACCTAAATATTGAAACTACCACTATATTATTCTCCACGGTCTCTGCTTTCAGAATATATATATATATATATATAATATATATATATATATATATATATTTTTTTTTATATATATATAAAAATGTTGGGAGTTTTAAGTAATCTTCAGTCCTAAAATCAGTTTTTAAATATGTGCAAGAAAAACGCAAAAGTAGCTCTGGCAGCAAAGGGATTAATAAATAAAGGCCCTCCCTAAAGACATGCAGAGCGTCATACATACAAATGTATGTTGACTGTCTGAAAAGAAAGTAGCGGTGCAACCCAGAGCAACCAGTTTCTATTATTAATATTCTGGCCTGCATTAGAAAAGGAATAGATGTTGTTTGGTTAGGATGTGTTCTTTGAGCAACACACAAACTTAGCTGACATTTTATGTATAATTGCTATTATTTGGTGACATAAGTTTACCGATAAAAAATCTTCATTTATTTTCTGGGCCAGTTAATTGGAATAAATCTGAAGCCAGAGGCTCAATTTAACAGACATGTCTAGATTTTTTAAAAATAATTTCTCTCAAGCCTCCTTTAAGTGAAATTTAGTAGCTCAGCATCATCTCAGTAGGATTAAGCATGACTTGTGCTCTTGTAATGTCTGCCCTAGGTATGTGGATAGAGTTATTGATTTATTGCGGCAGCGACTTAAGCAAGCAGAACTCTTGGAGAGAAAGAGGGAAGCATGGTTGGAGAGAGGAAAGTCATCCCTTGAGGAGAGGGAAAGCTTGGAGCCTAAGCTACAAGTCCTTCAGGAGAGAAGCCGTGAACTCCAGAGGCAGGTAAGCTCTGGGACAAATTATCGGGGTGCAGAGTAGTAACCAGACATACAAGGTGTTGCAATAAAGATTCTGATAGAAATGTTTGCTGTCATGTGCCTCCGTTTTGTTGCAGATTGAAGCAGAACTCTCGCGGAGATATAACAACCGCCCTGTGAAACTAATTGGCACTGGACTTTGACCTTTGTCTTGTGACTTCAAGATTGGTACATACATTAAATCATCTTGGTTTTATGGAGTCTCTTATGCTGAATCTCCTGTCTTTAAAGTGCTGTCCCTCAAATCCACATTGCACCCCCTTTATCTCTCCATCCTGAAGATGACACATTCCATCTCCATCCCCACTTCTTCATATTACCGCAGTGCGAGATGTGCACCTTTCCCCTCTTCTTGGCTTTCTAATTACATCCCATCAGAATGACGAGTGACCTGTCACTGCTCATTATTCTGGCTGCTCGTTATCTCAGTGCTTAGGGGGGAGCAGCACCCTCCAGCTGGACATTGAGTGATGGCATCTATTAATCAGCAGGCTCACAGAGCAATACCTGTAACCACAGCTTGCTACAGAGCGTGCAACTCTGCCAGTAGGCAGGATGCCATGGTTTGTCAGGTTCTGAGTGGCTGGAATAAAAGAACAACACTGCAGGATTTGCCTGAAAAGTTGATAAGGGAGCATCACCTTGTGGGTCTGTGACTGAACATGCTTTGCACTACCGGTGATAATGGGTTAAGGCAAATATTATTGCCTGGCTTAGATAAAAAAAAGAAACAATGATTGTGACTGTGAGTTTTGAAATACTTGCAGAGAAAGTCTTTCTCTGTATATAACTGTACTACACAGTAGACCCACCCCCCCCCCCCTTCCTTTCCCCAGCTCTAGAAACTGAATTATGTTGACGCTATCTGTAGAACAAATGTGTGTGTACAATAACATCAAAAAATCAAGATGACCCTAAACTTTGGCCCTTACCTCCTGAATAATAAATGTGTTATCTTTAACTTTTGTTCTCATAGTGCCATCAGACCTTTACAATTGAATGTGATTCAGGCCTGATATCCCAGCATAGTCTTTCTACAAACTGCAGTTATTTCTCAACAATCAGATTCAGGCTTCTAGGTAAGGTAAGAACGAGTTGATTGGGCATTCAGTGTGCTCTCAGTGGAAATACAGCATGGTTATGGTTATGCACATTTCCATGAGAACTAAATTTGGACATCTGGCTGGATCCTTTCTTTAGTCTCATGGGATTTCTTCTCCCAGTCTGTTAATGTAAACCTGATGTTACAACAGGCACACAGGAGTGCCACAGGAGCACAGAAACCAGGGGCTCTCAATTAAGGACATCTCAATTTCAAGTCGGAAATTTCAATTCTGGTCCTCCCCCTCCTGCTGAAAATGAATAGAGATCTGCCTGTGCATATTGAGTGCAGCCATGAACCAATCAGATGCTGTTTTCAAGGGCGGGTTCCTAAATGAATGAAGACACTAGCTTGTTTCTAACATTAACATTAGCACCTCCAGGCTTGATGGAAGATGCAGTCCTTGTTTATATCTGATCCAAATTTTAAAAAATAGTACTTTTATAATCCGATCTGTATAAAAACTCCAAAATACATATTTTTTCATTTTTTATGTACCACAATCAAATGACTAACACACAAAAAACAGCACAAGGATCTTAATAATATATATGGTGTCCTGATAAACAGCCCAGATAATGGTTGTGTTGATGTCTTTACAGATTACTTGGCTGTGAGTGCCAATTATGGGATAATTCCAATGCCACACATGGTGCTCAATTACATACCCAAGCAATAAACACTCTTATGGTGGTGTTGAATTAATGTGTCTGGACGTCAAATTCATATAAAAATCCAATGGACACTTTTAGTCAATAAGTGGTTTAAAATAAAGGTCCACAGTGAATGAATGATATCCACCTAAAAACAGTGATCCGTACTCCCTAGAGGGGAGGAAGCTGCAGCATTCAAGCTGGTGGGGACGCTAGAGCTGTTCTATTGGACCAGAAGTGCATCACCGCTAACAGGAAGTCCTCAGGCAGCCATATTGCCGGAATGCCTCTAGGGAGCACGGATCTTGCCACAATATACCTGCTGGTTTAGATATGCTTTTCACCCAGTGCACACCGCAGAAACCAGTGTAAGCACTATTTAAGATTGCTGTTTTTACGTGGATATCATTTACTCACTGTGGGCTTTGTTTTTAACCCCTTTTTCACTCAGTAAAGTGTCCATTGGATTTTATATGAATTTGGCATCTAGACACATTAATTCAACACCACCATAAGAGTTTTTATTGCTTGGGCATGTAGTTGAGCACCATCTATATGACATATCAGTACAATCACTCCTATAACCTTATGAGGCAGTGTTTGGAGCAGTCTGACCTTTTCTCATATTACATAATTCAGCATAGTATCATTTGATCAATACATCATCCACTGATTGTATATTACTGTAATGGTCACATGATAATACCCTGATTGGTGAGAAAGTCATGTTTTCTCTTCAGGTCTGCTCACCTAAGAGGTTTTCAATTGGCTATCACCTTTGTGCCCACTGCTCTTTGATTGGGTTTGGGTGAGATAGATTACAGTATAAAGTGCACATTATGGTGTTTAGAAAGGGGCGGTCAGACCCAAAACACAGCATTTTAATTTTACTGAGATCATTGTTCTGAAATGCTTTATTCAATGCTATCTGACTGACGTTTTAGATCATTTGAACTATATTGATGCCTATTAGATGAAATAAAAAGAGCCACTAAGTAGCTTGAGGTTGACATTTTATGTGCATAACAAGCCTAAATACAGTAAACCCAACAAAATATTGACAGTTTTCTTATTTTTGAAGCTGTACACATATTTTTGATTGCTTGTAAACACTGTGTATAGTGAGTATCTGTGTGTTGAAAGCACTTATCAAGCGTATGCATAGGATCAGTACAGAAAGTCTTGGAAACAGTCAAATTGAATCTCATACTGATACTGAAGGGTATATCTCTTAAATTACTGTTTTATGGGTTTGCAATGTCCATTTACCATTGCCCTGTACTTTTTTAGTTTACTTGTCAGTGTTTCAATTTCTAGACCTGTGAAGGATGACTAATTTCATATTTCCAGAGTTGTACTGTTCATTTATTCTTTCTAACAGCACCTACCAGCCAGCAACTGTCTATTTATTGGCCTCAACACTATGCTGCATTCCATTCATCTTTTTTATGATGTCATTAAATAAAGCTCAGTGTATACTCGATGCCACTTCTGCAAAGTGGACAATGATATTTCTCTACTTAACCAGAATTCAGGAAGTTCTACAACTGTGTATTGTAAAAGAGGAGCCAAATTAATTTTTGTGCTTACAGAGCAACATATAGAAGCCTCTGCAAAGGTCTCGTGTCAACATATTGAATACAAAGCAGTATGTCGGGGACAAATGCTGTTATATGACCAATAAAATAAACTATTTTACTGCATAAGAAGAGTGTGTTGATGATGAATATCTGCTGCAAGAAATACCATCCCACTTTTCCTAAGTGCCTCATCCCTAAAAAAAATGAGAATGTAAGGGGGCATTCACACATGTGCTCAGCCCCGTACAATGTGAAAAGCCCTTTGTTTTTTGTCCTAGTGCTGAGCTGCACGCAGGCAGACCATATTAGTGAATGGACACGCACTGGCTATACGGACTCAGACTCAACCGCACAACCAGGTTTGACAGGTACACAAGGATGGGTGCACGGGCCCCAATGCAGAGTCTGCATCCAAGGCTGTGCACCTTTCCCTGCATACTTGTCAAGTTCAGCTGAGCAGGGTTCATACAGCCAGTGTGTGTCCGTTCATTAATATGGGTTGCCTGCTTGCAGTTCAGCATTAATACTTAAAAGTAATCAAAGGGCTGTTTGTGCTGTATGGGATTGAGCGCCCGTGTGATTGCGCAGAGAGATACCAAGTATTTCAAGCCTCAAAACTGCGTATACCCAAAAAAATGGCAACAAACTATCCAAAATTGTACATAGGCAACACTTTTTAAAAACTTTTACAATTCAACAATTTAGCAGATAGTATTTAGCAAACAAAAAATATGTATGTTTGTGCTAGGTGTACGTATGTTTGTGCATGTGTGGGGTTGAGAATCCTTTAAAACATATATTTTATTTAAATGTTTTTTTGCTTGCTTTTAGTCATTTCTTTATTAACTTTATTACTATCAAAAATGGACTGACAAGCCCTTGTGTGATAGGATTGTACAGTGAGAGGTTCTCTTTAGGAACCAGCCTCTACTGGGTTAGAGCAAAGCCCTTCCGAATTCACTCTCTGCAGAGTGGATCTGGAAAGGAATGTAGAAGGGATTGGACCACATAGAAATGATTGTGTAACTTTATATCTTCCCAGATCACTTCTACAATATAGCCAGGAACCCTCTGAGCAATTTTAACACAAGCTTACAGCTGCTTTTGGGCCCCCGAGCTTGTTTTTAAATTGAGATTAACGTGGAACTAAACATAATCCGTAAAAAAAAAAAAAAAATTTGATCAAGCAGCTCTTTATGCTATGTGCCTTCTGCAGTGCCAGAATGACTGACGCACTTGCGCAGGATGAGGTCATTCCCCCACCAGCCAATCAAGAGGCTGTAAACCTGGCAATCATAAATGGCTGAGGAGATGGTGGCAGCAGCTGGTTTGGAATATAATCACTGCATTGCTGGAAGGTGGAGGTAAGTACTGCATTTCTGGGGGTTTAGTTCCACTTTAATTCTTTTTTTAATAAAACAGATACAAATAACAGTACTTAAATGTATTATCTTTTTTTTTTTCAATTAAATTTCCTCCTTTTGAGCTTACTTCTCAAGTTGCCACCCAGCCACACTGACAACATCCTGTGTTCTTTGTCTGCCCACTTTACCCTGGAACCTATGACGTCTTGTATAACACTCCTGTACATGTGAGCTCATATATTACAACACATAGGCAAGTGCAAGAGGGACACAAACAGCAAAAACTGTTGTCAATGACTGCTGTGGAAGAGGAGAGGTGTGACTTTTGCTGTGTGTGTGTCCCTTTCTCCTTGCCCGTGTGTATGGTGCTAACAGCAGCTACATGTAGAGTTGTCGTAGAGAGAGGCAGCTTGCACATACAGGGGACTTATACAAGACTTCATT